TTATCTATTCACTATACTCACCTCACTCCATCACACATGCATCATGTCATCAAGTCTTGGAGATGAAGAAAGTATCCCCTTCTTGCTATACTTGATGAAATACACCATATGCGTAGTCCAACCAAACATTCAGGATGCATGTGAAATGTGTCTGTCAACATTTGTATACCCCCTCCACTATATCTCCAAGGAGGTGGTGGGATAGCCTAGAGGATAAATGCTCATCACGCCAAAGACCCGTTTTCGAGTTCGCACATGGGTACAATGTGTGAAGCCCATTTCTTGTGTCCCTCACTGTGATATTACTCACTCACTTCACTCGCTCGCTCACTCACTCACTTCACTTCACTTCACTTCACTCCACGCACGCACGCATGCATCCTTATGGTTTAGGGTTAGGACCCTTTCTGGGAGTGGGATAGGGTTTGGGAACCTTTCTGATTCCTTAGGGTTAGGGTTGGAAGTGGGGTAGGGTTTGGGAACCTTTCTGATTCCTTAGGGTTAGGGACCCTTTTCGGTCCTAATTTAGGGTTAGACCTTACCTCAGGGCAGTGTAATCCTTTTATATCCAATTGAAACACATTTCGATCCATCCGGTACTCGTCAGTACAGTCCAAGAAATAATGGTGCGAAAACAAATGAATGGGAAGGGCGTGGTACAGCCAGTGAGGCAGAAGCGCAAGCAATGTAAACAAACCATTGCGCTTGGGAACACATTAGGGTTAGTCTCTATGTGATCATGAGCCCATGAAAACATCCGATGCCAGTGAAAACATCATTTTCACGCACGCACTTCACTTCACTTCACTTCACTTCACTTCACTTCACTTCACTTCACTTCACTTCACTTCACTTCACTTCACTTCACTTCACCTACACTCACTCACTCAAACCTACACTCACTCACTCAAACCTACACTCACCGAGGATCCGTTCCCATGGTTATGGTAATCATCACTTATAACCTGACTTCTGTTTACCAGTTTTATTCGTACCTTAGACATTGTATATATCATAATGAAGAGGTTGTATACAGGGAAAGAAACCTTTCAAAATTACCCAGTAGACAACAGGACCAGTGAGTGGACAAGAATTAGTGGTCCTGTCTGTACGTCACTGGTCCAAAATAACATTTGTAGATTTACTTAACTCTCAATACAAAATTCACTGGCCGCCAGGACCACTGCAAACTTATCATTTAGTTGTCCTGATGAATTTTTACTAGCCAATGACCACAGGACCAGCATAAATTTCGCACACTGTGTATATCCACCGACCCATCGCTTGAAATGTGTGACAAGATGACAAATCGGATCAGAGAGTTAGGCTCACTGATGTTGATGCGTGCCATTCGGTTCCAGATATGTTGATCAATGCTCATGATGTCAGTCATTGGATTGTCTGTTCTAGGCTTGATTATTTTAAGGACCATCCCACTGTAAAACAGCTGGCATGTTGATGAGTGTAGAGTTAAACAACGGATTCTTGGGTGGGGGGAGAGAGAGAGACACCCAAAATGGGCTTCACACATTGTACCCATGTTGGGATTCGAATCCAGGTCTTCGGTGTGCCAAGCGAACACTTTAACTGCTAAGCCATCCTACTGCCATGCCATTATTAGAAGTGGTATCATATTACAGATGGAGTTCTCACGGGACACTGTCTATATGTCACAAATATCAGTATACGTCACATGTATAAAAGCTAAATATTTCAAACAGTAGATTATTCTTTTGTTATAATATGAATTGTAACAACAGTTTCAGATAATTATTTGCCATCACTCGGACTATGAGTGATAATTTTACCTTACAGTGATCAGCTTTTCCTTACCTGTAACGAACACAGGTAGGCTATTATGCCTATTAGAGTTGTTGCTACCCACTGTTACTTCCAGAAGGGCCTTGAGCCTTCTATTGTAATCTAATTGTAGGGCTGACCTGAGGGATTATAGGATACAGTAGAACATGGGGGCGGTGTAAGGAGACATGGGAGACTTGGAAAATAATACCAGTACAGTCTGTATTTTATCACTAGCGATGACTCATCGTCAGTCTTCATGTTTCTCTTAAAAACAGTAGACAAACACAATGATTTACTATAGGTTTTATAGTGAGCTATATTTCATCTGAATTAGAGACAGACATTACCAGTAAAATACTTACAAATTTCTGTGTAACAACTTTTATTTTGTATGATTTTTTATTTTTGTTTTGTTGTCAGCATTGTACTTCCTGACTTTTTTACATGCCACTCAAAGAAATTATAAATACATATGTCTGTGAGTACCTGTAGCCAACGTATCATCGTCACTTATCGATTGTATAGTATGACAAGAAATTATTGAGAATTTTAGGAATGTGTTTAATTGGATTTCTAGTATAAACAACCTTGACCAGCTATCAAGTGCTTGGTTTCATTCAAGAGAGACAACTCTGTTAATCCTTTTTCATTAGTTTGTGAAGAGTTATCCCCCTTTGTTTACTTGCTAGCAGACAACCTTTTCAGTGATCCTCAGTATGGATGATTTAGAGAAGAGGAAGTTGATTTTAGAGTATTATAACAAGGACATCAGATCAGCTAAAGTGATTTCAAGTAGAACAGGCATCCCTTTGTCCACTGTTTATCGTGTTTTGAGAAATATTGCAAATGGATATGGCATTGAGCACCAAGCTGAGCTGAGGCTTGAGCTGAGGCAGCTTGGTATTCTGTTTCTAAAACAAACAAAGGAGTTTGCAATAGGTTGGCAGAAAAGAACTGAGCTGCAATTCCATCACCCGATCATGAAACCTGAACAAAAGGAGTGAAGGTTGAACTGGTGCTTACAGCATAGAAATTTTAACTGGGACAATGTGATTTTCTCAGATGAAAATTCTGTGTGGCTGTTTCCTAATACACTGAAATTCTGGACCAAACAAACTGAAAAACCTTTGTATCAGCGCCCAAAGTACAGTCCGAAATTTAACATGTGGGGTGGCATATCTGTGTTAGGGGCAATGGACTCTGTGTATTTGAAGGGAATAGGAACAGTGAGCGGTATACAGATATTTTAGAGGGACATTTACTTCCATCTGCTCACATGTTCTATGGAAATGTTTTGACTTTCCAGCAGGACAACGACTCAAAACATCGTTCAAAGCATTCACAGGCCTTGTTTCGACCCAAAATATGACATTATTAGATTGGCCAAGCTATAGCCCTGACCTAAATCCAATAGGAAATGTTTTGGGACTTATGAAGGAAAGTGTCAATAAGAAAAATCTGACAAATATTGCTGAAATGAAAGAAGAGGTGGTCCGATATTGGGACAGCATGGACCACGACTTTCTAACTTCTTTGATCAGTAGTATGCCCCACGCATTGAAGCCTGCATTGCTGCCAATGGTGACTTGACAAAATACTAACTGTTCACCTGTCTTTGAATCTGAAGTTATGTTCTGCTAATATTCACATTTAATACATGAGTATTGAGTGAACAAAATAAAAAAATTACAATCTTTAAATTCTCAAAAAGTCTGGTTGTACTGTATATACATTTCATGAAATACATAAATCATTTTTATTTATTATGTCAGTTTTACTTAGGTCTAAAATACTAAATGTTGATAATGAAATTAGTTTCATGAAACCATATGTGAACGATACGCAAAAGTATACCTTCGATCCATTAATAATAAAAGTGTAATCCGGCAGGACAGTGTGATTGTGTTTAATCCTATTCAACCAACCTTCACCTCAAAGAAATTGCCCAATATGTCCAACAATGTTGACGTGATGACATCACTACTGATGACCGATTTCTCATTAAATGGCGGCTTTGTGGATATGGGTGCCAACGATTTTGCGAGGGAACCTTTCTTCATAAATGTATGATGTAAGTAATTGGAAACATTCTGACTATCTGCGTGATGGTTATTTGTTTTTATTGCTTTCATTGAAAAAGTCAGAAATGCCGATAATTGCCTATGTCGGTCTCCATGATTTTGCGTCTGGCATGACGCCATGCTGCTTTCTAATGAAAATATCAAATTTCTGTATTGTATCTGTTTTTAATTTTCTAGTTCTTGCTACGATACTCTTTCCATGCATATTCTAAAAGTATTGAGCTCATGCATAATACTGAATAGAAAAACTGATGTCCAAAAACTTGAAAATGCTGCCCAGAATTAAATCTGATTTCCGCTTTGTTTACTTTTCTAGCAAGCGCTGTGTTATGAGCACAAACCTCCGTTTCACACACCCAATATGTTTCGTTTTTTTTTCTAGACACATGGTGTGTAAGTTGATTCTAAAATGTATGAGGAATTCAGCGATGCATTTGTCACAACTGAATATGAATATACGAGAAATGTAATAGGCATCATATGACCGGCCTTAGCGAAACTTGATTTTGTAAACACTATCCAATATGGCGGAAAGCTTATTTTGGCGTTACATTTTTGTTCCCAAAACATCCCATTTAACTGTATAGATGCCATTTTGATGGTTTCTTCACAGCAGAAATGTTTGTTTTTGTTCCGAGGTTTAGCTGTATAGATACCATTTTGATGGACGACCGAGAGTAACGCTTACGTGTTTACGTCGCGGAATTGTGGGAAATATTTAGGGGAATCCCCAAATTTAATGAAAACATTTACATTAGGACGTCATTAGATAATGATACGCTAATAAGTGTTTGATACAACCGTTTTTAATGTTGCCATTAACTACTGATGCATTAAGGATTTATTGTATCATTAGGGTTTAATGTTGACATTAGTTAATGAAGCAAAGATACATCTGGATCCTGTTCATTAGATAAAGGGGCGGTGGGGTAGCCTAATGGTTAAAGCGTTGGCTCGTCACACCGATGACCCAGGTTCGAATCCCCACATGGGCACAATGTGTAAAACCCATTTCTGGTGTCCCCTGCCGTGATGTTGCTGGAATATTGCTAAAAGCGGCGTAAAAACCAAATTCAGTCAGTCAGTCAGTCATTAGATAAATAACAATACATGAACTGTTTCAAATATTTTATTCAAATTCATAAAATCAATTTAGTTCATAGATGTATTTTTCTTTTTTCATTTTCTTTTTTAACATGGACACAATGTCATGGATTAGTTATCTCTTTTGCATTTTGGTATGTATATTGAAATTTTGCTGTAAACATGGAATGTATCAGGGTAGGCCTTTCTCACATCGTTTATACTTGGAAAATGATGTGCTCATTAATATCTGAAGGGCTTCATACAAACTTATAATAAATAATGTCATGGATTAGATGGCCCTGCCCTTTGACATATTTAAAGGTACTTAGTTCTTTCTCGCTTCAATAAGTTGACAGTCGTCATGGTTACACAAGTTAGTGAGTTTTCTTGAACTCCCATTGCTGTCTCAACAGGATCATGTCAATGCCTACATGCTTTCACTTAGTCACAAGGAACAACTTTGCATGATCTTGGAGAATAAAAAGATATAGCTGTACAAATGTCTTGACCTCATTTTACACCTCTTAAAAGAAAGAATTCTTAAATAAATGAAGATGAAATCACAGATATGATATTTTATGAGCATTCACAACCATTTTGAAACTTTTTTTTATAAATGTTATATACATTGTGTAAAGATATGTACAATATGTTGTGTTTATGCTGTTGTAGATCAGTTCAGTTGTTTCAATATATAGTTTTGTGGAATATAGACTACAAACAATTGTATTCATTTTATTTTAGAATTTTCATTTAATATTTTCAAGGCTATTTTCAGTGAAAATGAAAATGATTCACATTTTCATATGGTTTCTACAGAAACCTGTTTGTAGTCTGTTTTCAACCAAAATAAAGAAGCTGTTAAAATATTTTGCCAGGTTATATTTGTAAGCAGTGATATGTTTTAACATTTCATAAAGTCTAAGAAATAACATAACTAAACATATTTGTAGTACCAAGATAAAATAGGTTGTAATGTATAGACATCTGTCCTTAATTAATCTGTGTTTTATGTACAGAAATATCAACTCTTCAAAAACAACCCCGCTGATTTGGCCGTTTGTTTGGGTTACCCCTTTTTCCCAAAACTAGTTGTGTGGTGAGTAGGAGACGAATTTTCACCATTTATTTTCATTTTGACAGAATGAGGACTGCACCATGGAAAACATACCTAGAATATGGGTCATAAGTTCCTTTGAAGGTCATTTGAGGATGGGACAACATTTGCTCAAAGGGTTTTGCATTTACAGTAAGATCCAGCATTCAAGATGGCTGCGTACATGTTTGCATTTTGTTTTCATAAACTGATCCTTTTTATCAAAATAGGGATAGGTAAGTTAGGTATTTGTTTTCGTCCCATTGTATTTCCACTTCAGCTCACATCGAAACTAACTAGCTATCAGTGCGATATGAAATGTAGAATATCTGTCACTTGTACAGTCCATGGCCAATTGAGATAATATTTGCAGTCAACTGCAGTTGTTTAAAGCTGGAAGTTGCCGTTGCCTTGCCGGGGACCAGTCCTGCTTGAGAAATCCGAGTAACGGTCAACGTCAGGCTGCATCTCGGGCACCGTGACGATGGGCTTGATTGGCACCGAGTGTTTGGAGAGCGTGTCCCCTGAGTAGCCGTTCAGTTCAGCTGAAAAAGACATCACTGATGTTACCTCATGGCTGGGAGTGGTTGGTCTTTCTACAGACATCACTTATAACATTACATGTGGGCTAGGAGCATCTTGTCTTTCTACAGACATCACTGAATAACATTCAGAAAGTAGTCAAATGTAACACGTTATATATGGGATTTCACTTTCTCAGTAAAGTACAGATTTTAGTACTTTTGTTGGTTTGAGTCTCATCTGGGATTCGAAACCTCACACGCTCAGGCATCACGACTTCCACAAAGTAGGTGGCTGAACGGGTTAGGCGGTTGACTTTGTGTGCTGGCTATTAGGTGCCTGACTCTGAGGGTGTGGTTCAATTCCCGGATGTCACTCAATCCAACAAAAGTACTAGAATCTGTACTTTACTGAGAAAGTAATCCCAAATATAACGTATGTTACAGGAGTGGTTGGTCGTTCAGAAGACATCATTGACATTACCTCTGGGTTAGAGTGGCTGGTCTTTATCACATAAGGTGTGTTCAGTCTTTATACATGTTATATCATGGCTGGGAATATTTGGTCTTTATAACATAACGTGTGTTCAGTCTTTATACATGTTATATCATGGCTGGGAGTATTTGGTCTTTATAACATAACGTGTGTTCAGTCTCTATACATGTTATATCATGACTGGGAATATTTGGTCTTTATAACATAACGTGTGTTCAGTCTCTATACATGTTATATCATGGCTGGGAATATTTGGTCTTTATAACATAACATGTGTTCAGTCTTTATACATGTTATATCATGGCTGGGAATATTTGGTCTTTATAACATAACGTGGTGTTCAGTCTCTCAGTCTCTTTGGTCTTTATACATGTGTGTTCAGTCTCTATACATGTTATATCATGGCTGGGAATATTTGGTATTTATAACATAAGGGGTGTTAAATCTCTATACATGTTATGTATCATGCTCACATTTTGTGACTGTGCCCGTTGTGGAATAGATTTCAATCTTCGCCCTCTTGGATGCCAGGAAGAATGCAAGTATAGCTAGGACCGCTGCATCAAAGATTCCCAGGATGGCAAGAATATATCCCCAGCGGATGCCGCACTCCCCGAGGCGGTACTCGTCAGCAGAGGGACCACACACCTGCCGGACCTCCTCATGATCCCAGCCGCTTGGGAAGATGACGCAGGCCAGGAACAGAAACACGGCTGGAAGGAAAGGAAACATATCGGTTACTGTCATCATGCATCCGTGTTTATTGTTTAATAATAGTAATGATAATAATAAGAGTACATAGAGTACTCATCCACAGCACTGAGGGACATGCTCTAAGTGCATACAAGTCACAGTTCATTATTACCCTGGATAACCCAAGCTGCCTGTGGGGCGCTAGAACATTATAGTCACATGACTTATCCCACCGGGTACCCATTTCCTGCTGGATGAACAGAGGCAATTTTGAACACACATGTGCTTTGCTGTGGGACAGGACAGAAGTCCTAGAAACTTTCAGGAGTCAAGCTACCAAACACGGTCACCCATCCAAGGACTTCCACGCCCAGCGTCGTTTAACTTCTACTGATTTGTGACCAAGGCCTAGATTTTCGAAGTTCTCTTAGAGCTAAGATAGTCGTAAGTGCCATTCATTAACATTAACTTATGACTATCTTAGCGCTAAGAGAGCTTCGAAAATCTAGGCCCTGGGCTCTATGCACGGGACCACACACCACCACAATTTGTGTCATAAGTGAGTGAGTGAGTTTAATTTTACTCTGTTTTTCCAGCAATATGGTTGGGGACACCAGAAATTGGCTTCAGACATATGCTTGTGTGATGTCTTAAGGCTAAGGTCATAGATGGAGTATTGGCATAGACAAAAAGGAAGAGTTTCAGAATATTGCCTAATGCAGCTATTCGTGCATGGTTCATGTGTGACTTGAAAGATGACATATTTTTACTCTTGTCAAAAGGGTCTAATGTGTGTTTGATGAAGGGGGCAAGATGCATGTATGTTTGCATTTCTGAATGAAATAAATTTGGTAGCACATTCTCATGTGACAAATAACAAATTTGAAATAAACTAATAAAGAAATAACATCTAAGTTTTCTAAGTCATGGTGACTAAAATAAAAAAAATTAGTATAAATTGGATCGTGTGACTGTAGGAACGCCATTTTGCTTTGTGTCAAAGATACACATCTCACTGTCCTGTGGTTCTGTGGTATTTGAAACCTCTAAGTCTTTAACTGCAACATACTATTAAGGTCGACTACATGCTAAAAGTGTGAATTCCTGACAACTGATTATTAAAACACATTTTAATTAACATCTACATCTTAACAGAAAAAATTAATAAAATTGCAACAGTGTTGACAATAGATTACATAGCCATATAATAATTAGTGTTATTACAAGTGCCTCTTGATCATGCTTAATTACACTGTCCAGTTAACTTCTTTTAGAGGCATTTAGAAGTTGGAGCAGTAAGGAACGATAAAAATATATTGATGTACAACCTCTGTATTACAGTGAGAACTACGGGTTTTAGGTGTGAATGTTCTAACACTGTTATCAAGATCATCATCACTTGCTTGATAACAGTGTTAGAACCTTCACCAAAACATTCCTCTCACTGTAATCAAGAAGTTGTTCATTCATATATAGTTTTCATTCATATATAGTTATCCTTCCTTACTAACGAATTACTCATGTTGCAGGCATACAGGTAATCAGCTCATAAAGATTTTGAAGATATGTAAAAGAATTGACATAATTACAGGGATTGAAACGAGTAAAACTTCTTAGAGCTGCGAACAGGCTTGCAATAATCCACCTGTCTACAGACTGGCATTAAAGCAGTTGTATAAATTGTAACAATAGGTAGGTAATTAAATATACAGGTATACCTGTAATAAGCACAGGTATGTGACTATACCTATTGTTAGCCTCTTACTGCCTGTGGCCTTGAGGGGGTGGAAGGCTTTCTACTGTAAGCTAATTGTAGGGTGGGCCTCAGGGATTGTACTATAGGAAAACAGCCTGGGGTCGGGTATTATGTTCTCCTATCAATAATACATTTATTTGAATGGATCTCTTTGTTTGGTGGGATTTAGCAATCTCAAACTGGCCTTCCAATAAAACATCATTTTCCTTCATGTTTTTGTGAGATTCGACAGGAGTTGTATTTGAACGTTGCATGTTTTTATGTCTTTTCATGTATAACACAGATTAAGTAAAAATAATAGATTGTTTCATAATGCACCAGTGTTCAATATAAATATCTGATATATACTCACTTGCAGATATTTAAAAAGAAGATGTTGCTCTAAAATAGTCTAACTAACATATGGTCAAGCTTTTATGTTATTTATTATTTTGATATTGGCCCGGATTCCATTCCCCACATAGGCACAATGTGTGAAGCCCATTCCTGGTGTCCCCTGCTGTGATATTGCTAAAAAGCAGCATAAAACCTAACTCACTCACTCAATATTTTGATATTTTTTTATTTGTGATGGAATTTATTCCATGTATCATAAAAGAAAGTTAATAACATGACAGGAATACCTCTTACCCTGAAGCAATCACCAGTGTTCAGTGGTGTGATACCGTAATAGGGCATTAGCTTAAAGCATTAAATTCTACAAGTCTTAACAACTGACTGCGGGTGTCTTGACTCGACTAACGCTTAGTCTCTGAATATATATAATTTTGATAATAACAAATGAACAATTTAAATTGAAAGAGGAGCCCCTGTCAGATGGGTAATTCAGAGAAATTCGGAACCTGAGGGAATCTAGACTTGCTGCATTTAGGGCTTTAGCTGAGTTGAGTTGAGGTGGGTTTTACGTCACATCGGCATTATTCCAGCCATATAGTGACGAGATCAAGTCTGAATTCATGCACATATTTAGGGCTTTAGCACTGAAGAGATTTTTAGGCAGTCGGGAAAACAATGTGGTTCAGGGACTGTGAGTCAGACTAGTGTCTTGATATGACAGGGCAGACAGGGATGAAAATCTGATAATTAATTTATGGTGGCCTATAATTTGGTTCATATATTTGTGCGTGCGTGCGTATTTTGCTCATGCCATCAACCACTTGATTGCTGTGCTCAGAATTATTCGCAGCACAGATAATTTGTTATTGATGAAATTTACTCACTCGTCCAGTTTCTGCCTGGATTGTTGACAGACATTCCTGAGTATCCTTGGCCATATCACATTCTTCTGATTGACAACGCCCAATAATAGCCTGTGTCAGGTGGTATAATGGCCCCCCCATGTCTTGCCCATTGTTCAATATTTTGTATCTTGGGTTAGTTTATTTTGAGGAATGGTTCCCTTTTCTTGTCTGGTGTCCCATTATTTAAAAAGGAACTTCGATGACCTCTCATTGTTGGGGTCATCGTCATGGGAATGATTTGAAATGGCTGAAGTGGACAATAGATTCTTATGCCATTGGTACGGCATCCTGGGAGCAAGTTTCTTTTCCGTTTGAAATTTTCAGACTTACCCAAATTCATTGTGACTAGAATATATGTTTTCAATGTTATATATACAGAAATACCTATGTTACAAATCGTTATTATTGTTATGAACACTTTTTTTAAAAAGATTATTTTGTAAAGTGTATTTTCCATTAAACAGCAGTTTCGTTCTTTTAAACAAAATTTAGTTGATTCTTTTAGTAGTTCTACACATAAATATATTGATAAGTTTAGTAGTTCAACACAAAATTCATTGATTGTATTATTAAAATGAAACAGTCCAACATTAAATAGAAAATATGAATTTCAGACCTCGTACACATACCGCCAGACAAGTAAAGATTCATTCAAGTGAATGTCATTTACTGTCATGGTTGAAATAGTTGCTGATTGCGCTGTTCACAAGAAGACAGCCATGAATCCTGCACTGCTACGGGAGCATGTTGAGTGTTGTACTTTGAGTAGGCCTTAAGAATGCAGTAAGGTGTGTTGTATGGCATACCAGCTTGTCCTACATGGTTATGCTTGGTACGTCCATTAATATGACAGAGCGCTTGTTGATTCGGTTGATACTGTCATGAAGGCTTATGCCTAAAAGGAAAAATGTTGTGGTTCCGATTACCCGACCGACCCTTGAATTCTAGTGACCCTTGAATTCTTGTGCCGACCCTAATTTTTTTAAGCGGTATAAATGAAATAAGCTTTTAGATACCATTGTTTTTTCACGGCACCGACGGACATCGGTCATTCTGATAGAGAAAGTGGACATGATGGCCAAAACCTTGATTGAATAAACAATTATACATTGATAAATGTGTTATTAGTTTGTACTTTACTTCTAAAAAAATGTTTAAACAAACAAAATCCTACTTACCTACCCTAAATTTTAAAGTGGTTTAATCGGAACCACAACATATTTTTTATTTGGCCTTATATCGAGAATACAGATTGAAATTGGAAGGTAGTATGGGTGGCTGGCTTTACATTAAGTGAAATAGTATTTCTATTTTGAAACATCCCAAACCTTTATTTGTGACAAATATTGGGGTCGTGGGATTGTGACAGTTTCTGCTTATAATAGCAGTTGAGTAGAAAAACATTAATCTGTATTCATGACAAGGACTGGTGAACACTGAACACATAGATGTACTGAAAATGAAATGCTTGTCTTAACAGGAGTTGGTGGTCAGGCTCACTGATGGTTAGCAATCATATTCGAATTGTGTAGACTGATGCTCATAATGTTGATCACTGGTTTGTCTGGTCCTGACTAGAGTATTGACAGACCTTAGTCATACCGCTGGAATATAGCTGAGTGCATGTTAAACAACAAACACCATGAATATGATACAGGGCTCCAGATAAGGGCCGTATCGGCGAATGTACGGATATAAAATAAGCATGATATGGTAGGAAATAATTTAGAGAACGTAGCAGATACGCACCACAGCAATGGTGTACGGTCTTAGAATCATTTACAGACTTACTTACCTGAAAAAGTATTGTTTTATTGTTCACTGACCTGTTTACACAAGAGTAGCAATGTTGTGGTGCATATATGAAACGAAACACAACATTACTGATACTCCATTAAATTCCATTCAGTACTCTAAATGTACTCTTATTGTTTTCCAGTACTCCTATATTGAAGAAATAAGGAGTACGTACTCCTGATTATGAAAAATTATCTGGAGCCCTGTGAACAAAGTAATGGTCTGT